ATATGGCCCCGACAAATATCCGGATATTCTGGGAATTTCGAGATGGTCACTGTTCTGTTCTGACAAAATGGTACTATGGGTTTATGGACCCTAGATTGGTGACTTGAACCTCTGTAAAATCACTTAGATTAAGGGCTTTGGGCTTTGGGAGAAGCCTAATGGCATGAAACGATAAAGAGAACGTTGTCATTATGTCATGAACTCTTACATTATAAATATTGATATGATTGCTGGTCTAAACAGATTGTGATTGTGCTGTTTGTGGACCTTGAGCTAGTGTGGACTTTGGCTTGGATTGATTGCTTAAGAGGTAAGCTTTCGTGTCCTCGGTTTTGCCATTGTTGGTTCCATCATACCTCATGGAGGGATGTTTTATATGCATGATGTGTTTTCATGTATTGCTATTTGAAATGCTATTGAGTTGTTAAGTGCAAGTGCCTTATGATATGTATGTGTTGTTCCACCTAAACGGTAAGCCTAAGTATGTAGCGTCATACAAGATGGTGATTCTGTGGGTGGGTATAACGTCTTGCACTGATTGTAGGTTGTAGACGTATGTAATTCCTGCATGTTCTCTGGCCAGTAGGATTTTGACACACATGACATGATTATATGCTGCATTGCACTGATTTTGGAACTCATATTATTATACTGCTTTTGAACTTAAATTGCACGTGTAAGTGAGCTTGGGGTGGAGAGATCCTTGAGGACACCTTGTCTTATTGAGATTTCTTTTTAGAGATCTCACCCCACGTTTGGGGCATATTTTCAGGTTCAAGTATCTCAGGGGTTGAGACCTCGGGCGGCAAGAGGCCGGAGCTGAGCTGACTGATCTATGCTTGATGATTTAGTTATCTTATATGATCATGTTTGATTCTTCTACTATGACTATTGTATTTGAGACTTGATGATTGTGCTGTTTATTTGGTGAGCATGAGGATTGTCCATGCCACGTTGACTTGACTATGTTTATTTAGATTTGAGTTGTATAATCTATCAGGATATTGCCCGGTCTACGTGTTGTAGCTCCGTGACTAGAAACACATTTATATATAAGGTATTTCAGTTAGTTGTTTATTTGCAATTTACATACAGACAATATTTTATAAAGGATTAAGTAATCAACTCGGTTAATAATAATGACGTTATAATTGAAAAGAAAAAGTTAGCTTCCGTATTTAGTTGAGTTGCGCTTAATATCGTATCGTGATAACAATCCAGGTATACACGGGGTGTTACAGGTCTAATCTTCTCTGATATAATCTGAGATAAGTTAAAGAATTTCACGTACCTCACATGCTACTAGCGCTAGTTTCGAGCTAATAGCGTGGGAGTTTTGTTCAGCATACAGCAGGCTCACGCTCCTAGCGTGGTTCCCGCCCTGTCAGGTTGGCATGATTGGCTGGCGTTGCGAGCGCCAATTCCACGCTAGTAGCGTGGTGATTCTGTCTTGAAAGTTGCTTCTGGTGCTGACAGCGCCATACCCGCGCCAGTAGCGCGGGGCTTCAGCATGGTGCTGTCAATTGGGCTTCTTTCTTGTCTTTTTTCCTACAAAATATAATAAAATCAGTGACAAGATATTTGATTTGGATTTATCAATTTAATAACAATTCTAGCCCTTTTTATCCAAGATTGATCAAGATTCTTTCTCTTTTTGGCTTAAAATCATATATATGCTGGAGGCATATCAATGATGATGATGTGATGATGACAATGATGGCATCAGGTGGAATCCTGCTAGGGGCACCTGTTTACGATGCTTGTTGTCACCATTCAAGCGTGATCAGAGACGTTGCACGGGTTACCATCGACGAGGGTGAAGGCGTTGATTTGTTATTATTGTAAAAGTTATCATTCTTTGATGTATATCGTAGGGCTGTGGATAATTGTTTATATTTATGCAGTTTTATTTTTATCATTGAGTTTCTTATGGATTGCAATGATTTAATATTTATGCACATAGTCTTATGTTACACTATTTTGTCAGCTATAATTGATTTTGATGGAAAAACAATAAAAATAACATTCATTATTAACAATCTTTTTCAACATTTAATAACAATATAGGATGGAAATGCTTTGCAAACGTTTTCGATAAGCAATCATTGTTGGGTAGGGTGGTGCGAAGGATAGTGACGTCTATTATGGTTAGCAACCTTACAATAATCACATCTCGTACGAGTAGTCTACCCTTCTACGAGTCCATTTCATTATGTATACTTGTACTTCTTGGCCTTCCTTTTCGACGTCTTATTGACACATCTGGTATGATCGTTGGTGATTCGCTGGCTGGTATGAAATTCTCATTACCAATTGGGTACCATTGACCAGAATAGACCTGACATTGAAACGAGGCACTATATGCAGGACCAATGTACTGCATGGGATCGTGGTTTGTGGAAGTGCATGATGTAATGACATGACTACACGGGTACCTAAAAGCAGTGAACTCTCCACATTGACATGTCTGATCAGGTAATGAAATCGACCATTTCTTGCCGCCGTGGTGAGTTCGTTGATTGTACGACTCTTGAACTTCAAATCTTGTCTTTTTCTTGTCGTAAGATGTTACCCAATGTGTTGCAGCTTTTTATTGATTCTCCACATATGCACGCTAGAGTACTTTGGAGAATCGATTACCTCTCCCCATCTCCTCACAGGCCTCCTAGCTATGTGTCAAAAAGTATTTATTTAGTCTAGCGTATATGATTCGCACCAAAGACGTGATAGGTAGGTTTCTGACGCCTTTAAGGATCTTGTTAACATACTCTGATAGATTTGTGGTCATGTGGCCAAACCTTCTTCCCTCTACATTATAAGCGATGCTCCAATTCTCTTTGGGGATGCGATCAATCCATGCAGCGATCTGGAGGCTTGGGTGTAAATAACACTGAATTTGTTGTACCCCATAGCAAATTTGCCACATGTCAGACACTCGTAGTTTGCTGATCCCCGCAGCAAATTTGTAGGAAGCTGCCAAGTGTCATTTTTGGTCCTAATTTGTTGTACCCTACATCAAACTTGTGATTTTCTTACACGTGGCATGCTTGGCAGGGCATCTAGTTCGCTGTGTCCAGTAGTGAACTTCTCTGTGGCTGTCACGTGTCCTGAAAATGCTCAAAGCAGACTGACTTTTTGACCTCCTAGTTCGCTGCTTCCAATAGTCCTGAAAATACATCACCTGCTATAGCGAGCTTGTACACGTGGCACTACAGAAAATTTTACTATTCGCGTGGCAGTTAGGTAAATTTTTTGATAAACAATAGCATTACAGTCACTGTTCCAAAAACATATACCTAACATTTAGGGTTATGTTCCTAAAATTAAAATCCCCGGCCTGCGAATCTATTAAAAATATCATCAGGTCTGAATGATTCCCCTGTTTGGCTTCGTTATTACTTCATAGAGTAAATATTCTTTTTGGTCCTCAGTAAATTTCACGATGCCCGCTTTAGTCCTTAGCAAATAAAAAGGCTATTCGTGGTCCCTAAGAAATTTAAAATGGACCCATTTAGTTGAAATCGTGGTCCCTCACAAATTCAAAAAATACTCACATTAGTCCCTGAAAAAGACTAAAATGGATCCACTTTGAATTTCTTAGAGACCACGAATAGCCTTTTTATTTGCTATGGACTAAAGCGGGCATCATAAAATTTGCCATTGACCGAAAATGATATTTACTCTACTTCATAATTATATCTTTTTTTCTTTATATAAGGTTCGAAATTAAATTTCCTGCCTAATTTTCTCTAGTCAAATTCAAAGTTGCTTATATCAACAAGGATTATGAGGCTGTCACCACAATTTCCGCGAAGCCAAAGCTGAACATAGTTTCCATTCTCCTTCATCTACACGGTCCTACTGGATTTTCCTTAGTCACTTTTCAAAGTGTTTCTTTTTTTGGTTGACTGACTCAAGTTTTTCTAAAAGCATTGTAGTTCAGCGGAGCTTTTTTTTTATTATTATTAATTTTTTTTACTACCCCTAAATTTATAGTGCTTAACAAAATGGGAATTTTTAACAGCTTTACAAATAATTTACCAAGTTGGATATATAACTTATATAAATATAAATAATCAATATTAACCACTTAAATATACAACAATTACATGTAGTAAAAAATCATTATGCATACTCGTCTAAAATAACTCATTCACAACGCCATTATTCAATCACATATCTCACACGAATTGTGAAGGAGCAATAGTGGTGGAGGTGGAGATGGAGGTTGTGAGGTGAATGATAGTGTATGAGTTGAGGAAAGAGATGATAAGTGAGAGTATGTAATTGGTAAAGTGATAAGGGTGATTCTAACCCAAATGCGGTAAAGTGATAAGGGTGATTCTAACCCAAATACTAAGTGAATACCCTTCAATAATTTTTATATTAATCTCTAACGTAATTTCTTATGTAAGTATTTTTTAGGTTAGAAGCGTGAATGTTGCACGTGTCTATTTTTTTTTGTTATTCTTTTTGCTAACTTAATTCTACTAGAAAGTAGAGATAATAAAGATCAAACTCGTGACTCTGTGATCACCTTAACTCTTTTTGAATAAACTAGGAGGAATATCTATATCATAGTAGAGCTATTTTTTTTTTTTTTTTTGTATTCAGAGGATCTTAAACTCAATATATTATTTAAGTAGAATTAAGTACATATTACTTGAACCAATTTTCTTTAATACAATGATAAGCAACTATTTTTAAAAATTTAAACATTTAAGTAAAGGTATCAATAATATTTATATTTATAAAATAAGGTTCCGGAGACGCGGAAGATATCATAAAATAGTAGACGCGGGAGATACATGTTGACATAATATGAGCACTTTAGTGAGGAGCATAGGAGAAATTAAATAATACACGTTGTAACCATAAATACATAAAAAAATCTATGAGTTGGGTGGTTTATAGCCAAACAATCATACTATGTACATCATCTTCGAGGACGGCATTTTGGACTTTCAATCCCAAAGTAATTGTGATCTGACCTGTGACAGGCAATTTCTACTAGGAGCTCCATCTAATAGCCTCGCTACTTAAAGCATCGTGTAAGCACACATGATAACGCACGCTGGACCGGTTATGGGTGTGCATGATAAATTTTTTTGGAATTAATTTTTTTTTGTTAATTTCTATTTCTAAAAATAGAAATAGATAGAAAATTTGTTTGCTAAAATCGCTTTATTTTTTTATTCTCGAAATGAATCCGTTTAATTTTTCTGCTGGGAATAAAAAAAAGAATCAGAGAATTTCTGTTTTTTTTTGGACACAAAATGAGAAATACTTATGTCTCTCAATCACTCTCCATCTCTACTATTATCACCATCACCACCACCATCCCGACACGACCACTGCCATCATCGTCGTCGCCGCTGTCATACCACTAGTTCTGTCAGCACCCCCACCTCATCACGATGCCACCGCCACCATCACTACCACCTCCACCCATCATTACCTCCATGCCACCGTCACCACCACCGTAACTATCACTACTACCACCACCACTATCATCGTTACCACCACCATAACTACCATCACCACCACTATCATCGTCACCACCACTACTCATCATTACCTCCATGCCACCGTCACTATCACTATAATTACTACCACCACCATCACCATTACCACCACTATCATCGTCACCAACACTTTCACCACCACGAAAACCATCTATCGATTCACTTAACCTGCGCCTTTATTCGAATTCTCTATTAAAGAACACATAATTGAATCACCATTTTTTCATATAGCTTTTTTCGTATATTTACACCAAATACAATAGATGAATAGTCATTCCATGAAAAATCATAAAATATTCTTTGCATAAGATAATTAATTATCTATCTTATGCAACATAAAATAATTATTTTCCTTGTTCAATAACCAAATTTTTTTTCTTTAAACTAGTGCAAAAACTGAATTATTTTTTCAAATCTGGTTTGGTTCTCTAACCAAATCACTTTTTCATTACTGATTCAATTTGGATAAAAAATGGAATCGAATAAAATGATATCCACGTGTGAATAGTCACTGTAATACAACATCGTTTTAGGGTAAAAATTATAATATTTTTATAATTTTAATTTATTTCAATGTTATAATAATTATTATATTTATAATTTTTTAAAATTTCAATACCAAAATAACGTGATTTTAAAAATAAATACAAATAATGAATATATTCCGATTTCTAAAATATGAATACTTTTTCCAAAGAGAACCGAACCAAAATGTAAACACCCCTAGTTGCGGTCAACTGGTCAACTTGGGCTCCAAAGAGAAAAGCTTATAAAAATCAATTCTTTTACATAAGCTCATAATTTATAATTTCTTGATAGAAGAAAAAGAAGAACAACACCACCATGGATATCTCATGGCTGGTTTTCCCCAGCTTCTTCTTCGTCTTTCTCTCCTTTTACAATTCCATTCCACATATTTGACAACCAACCCACCTTTTTTTTTTTTTTTCTTCTTCTTAAATATACATTAGCTTCCATATGGGTCAACCATTACCAACATCATTATTTTCATTTTTATTATTAACACTTCATCTATCATTACAAGGTAATCTACAAAATGAATGGTTCATATAATTATCATTATCTCATGTACAAAATGATTAATACCATTCATTTTCAGGGGTCATTTCAACAACATTCACTCTAGTTAACCAATGTAACTACACTGTGTGGCCAGCATCAACCGGTAGAAACTTAACCATAGCAGCCACAGGCTTCGTTTTGAAAACTGGTGAATCTTTCAATGTCACCGTACCCACTTCATGGAGCGGCCGTTTCTGGGGTCGAACTCTCTGCACCACTGACTCAACCGGAAAATTCTCCTGCCTCACCGGCGATTGCGGCTCCGGCAAGGTCACGTGCGACGGCAACAGGGGAGGCTCGCCGCCTGCCACGCTGGCCGAGTTTACGGTAAACAGCCCCGGTGGCCTTGATTTCTTTGACGTAAGCTTGGTAGACGGTTACAACGTACCCATGCTGTTGGTTCCACACGGTGGTTCTAACGGCAGCTGCAACAGCACGGGTTGTCCGGCGGATCTGAACGCCGTGTGTCCGACGGAGCTCAAGGTCACTGGCGGGGAGGAGAAGAAGCAAGTTGTGGCATGTCAGGGTCCTTGTGCTGCGTTCAATTTGCAGTATTTTTGTTGTGCTGGGAATCGTAATAGTCGAGATACATGCGAGCCAAGTGTTTATTCTCAGATATTCAAAACGGCATGCCCACAGGCTTATAGTTATCCTTATGATGATGATAGGACAAGCATGTTTACTTGTTCATCTTCTGCAGATTATAATATCATCTTTTGTCCCTCTACTAACACCAGGTTAGATATACTTCCTCTATTAGCGTGATCGATCTCATTCATTTATAGATAATCATTGGTGATAGAGAAAAAAAAAAAAAAAAAAACATTAGAATAGGGAATGAAGAAACAATAATTGTTAATTTGTCTGTGAATAACATAGATGTCCCACATGATTGACACGAGAGGATTAGCTCTGAAATCCTGAGTTAAAATGTTCAAATGAGAATTATATGGTCTAGTCAATTCAACCAAAGGGCAAAGGGAAAATTCCGATGTACATGCAGGGTAGGTTTGAGAATAAATTATACGCAATCTTACCTTCACATTTTGCAAAAAGACCTCTTTCAGATTCGAATAGGTGATATTTTAGTCATAAGGAACGCCCCTTCAAGGCTCGCCCTCTCAATTCAACCATTATGTAATTTTTTGTAATTTTTTTGGAATAACTATGCAGCATTAACCACTAAATCACAATGGTGTATGTTTTTTAACTGAAACTGATGGTCATGAATTCTAAAAGAACAATTAATATTGTTCCACATTTTATGAAAGTTATCATGGGTTTTATATTAAGTTTTATAAGTAATTTTACTATTTTGAGCTTGAAAAACAGTTAAAAGGGTACTTTCTTCCCTCTAAAAGGTTAGTAAAAACTATTATTTTCTATAATGTAGCCTCAGATTGCTGGATCAAGGTGTAAGTGTTGGTGCCTCACTTACTGCTGGCAATGGGACAACTCGGTGGCTTTCTCCTTCAGGCGAATTTGCGTTTGGATTTCACCAACTTCCTAATAATGAGCTTTTCCTGCTGGCTATATGGTATGACAAAATACCCGACAAGACCATTATTTGGTATGCAAATGGTGACAACCCTGCTCCTATAGGATCAAGGTTGGAACTAAATGACTCTCGTGGACTAGTGCTAAGTAGCCCTCAAGGTACAGAGCTATGGAGATCAGATTTCACATCAGGTACAATTTCCAGTGGTCTAATGAATGATACTGGGAATTTTCTGCTTCAGGACAAAAAATTTGTGACATTATGGGACAGTTTTAGTCATCCTTCTGACACATTGATGCCTAGTCAAGAAATGGAGTTAAATGGAAATCTTTCTTCACGGCAAGGGGAGTTCAATTTCTCACGTGGAAGGTTCAAACTTCATCTACAAGAAGATGGGAATCTTGTGCTCAACCTTATGAATTTGCCGAGTAACTATAGTTACGAGCCTTACTACAACACTGGCACTGCTGATGCTAAGAATAGTACAAATGTTGGCTTGCGTTTGATATTTGACAAATCAGGTTTGTTATACATACTGAAAAAAAGTGGGGAGATGTTTAGTATCTTCAAGCCAAATGAGAGTGTCTCAACTGATAGCTTTTACTACAGAGCAATGATCAATTATGATGGTGTTGTCACCGTAGCATATTACCCCAAAGATCCAAAAAATGGACAAAGCTGGGTCATTGCACAGACTATACCAGAAAACATTTGTAATTCTACATTCACAGATGGTGAAGGTGTTTGCGGGTTTAATAGCATCTGCATCCTCAAAGATGACCAAAGGCCAAACTGTACTTGCCCAGAAGGATACTCTCTAATTGATTCAAATAACATGTATGGTGGATGCATACCAAATTTCCAAGTTATTTGTCAAGCAGGTGGGTATAGGGGTTCACAGGATGATCTATACATAATGAAGGACTTACCAAACACTGATTGGCCTAAATCTGATTATGAAATACTTAGTCCTTCTAGTCTACAAGAATGCACAAAATCTTGTTTGCAAGATTGCTTATGTGTGTTGGTTACTTTTAGTGGAAGTTCTTGCCGGAAGAAGAAGCTCCCACTTTCGTTTGGGAGAAAAGATCAGGGAGTAAACGGAACTTCTGTCATGAAATTGATGAAAAATGATGATACTCTCGCCCCTTTCCCAAACCCAAATGGGAAGAAAGATCATGATACTTTGATCATTGTGATATCAGTTCTATTGGGAAGCTCTGTGTTTGTCATTTTAACATTGGTTGGTGCAATATGTTTCGGTTTCTCCTACGACCGCAAGAAGATCAAAAGTAGTAGAACCAACAATACTGTTGTTGACAGGAATTTGCGCAATTTTACCTTCAAGGAACTTGCAGAAGCAACAAGCAACTTCGGAGAAGAACTGGGAAGGGGATCCTTTAGCATTGTCTACAAAGGAACAATAGATATGACTGGTGTGGCTGTTAAGAAATTAGACAAGTTGTTGAAAGACAACGATAAGGAATTTCAGACTGAAGTGAATGTGATAGGCCAAACCCATCATAGGAACCTAGTTCGTCTGCTTGGATATTGCAATGAGGAAGAACACCGGATTCTGGTTTATGAGTTGATGAGCAATGGCACTTTAGCAAGCTTCCTTTTCACTAATTTGAAACCAAATTGGAACCAAAGAGTAGACATTGCCCTTGGGGTTGCAAGAGGGCTTGTTTACTTGCATGAGGAATGTTGCACCCAGATCATCCATTGTGACATAAAGCCACAAAATGTACTTCTAGATGATCAGTACAATGCCAGAATTTCAGATTTTGGGTTAGCAAAGCTATTGTTGATTAATCAAAGCCACACTGAAACCGGAATTAGAGGAACAAAAGGGTATGTTGCACCAGATTGGTTCAGGAGTGGACCTATCACTGCTAAGGTTGATACTTATAGTTTTGGTGTGCTATTACTAGAGATCATTTGCTGTAGGAAAAATGTAGAAAAGGAGTTTGTTAGTGAAGAAAAGGGGATTTTAACTGATTGGGCATATGATTGCTACAGGACTAAAAGTCTAAACATTCTTCTAGAAAACGATTGTGATGCTGTCAATGACATGAAGATTTTGGACAGGTTTGTCATGATTGCTATTTGGTGCATTCAAGAAGATCCCTCTCTTAGGCCAACAATGAAGAAGGTTTTGCTGATGCTAGAAGGAATTGTTGAAGTTGCAATTCCCCCAAGTCCCTACCTTTATGGTTCTGTTAGTTGCAATTGAAAATAGTTTCCTTTGTACGTTTTCTTTTCCTTGGTATAGCTGCTCGTTTAGTTTTTCTTCAAATTGATTTTTCATGTTACTTAAATAGATATTGAGAGCAATTATTAATAATGAGATGTTGATTAAATTGTACTTACATAATAAATAGGAGCAACGTTTAGCTTTCAGTACAGCTTCAAAGTCTAAGTCTTTCATATTATAAACATAATATATAGTCTGTTGATCAAATCAAACAACTATTACCACGCCAATTGTTTGAAAGAATTCAGAATAAAATACTAAGGCTAGACCAATCTACCTATCTAAAAATTCTATCCATAATGGATTCATGCCAGTTGCCACCTTCTCTTATGAAGGGTTTAATATTACTCATGCCTGAAAGACAAATATTAACATTTACTGACAAAGCACAATATTCATGGAGTAAATAAACAAGCACATAGAAAGGTGAGATACAGCGGAATGTGTTAAAATATAGTAGTTTTTTATTTTATTTTATTTTAATCTATCATTTTTAAATCTTTAAGAACAAGTCATCCAAACGTGTTACACAAAGACTCTAGCATGGTGCTAACGGGATAACCAATTAGTGTCGTTGGCACTAACAATCATTAGTTTAAGTGGTAAGGAACTTGTTGTCCTTTAAATTTCTAATTGGGAAACCAAAAAATATGGGGGATGGAGTCTAGTTAGGTTTCTAGTTTGGCAGACTTCTAAATCGTAACAATTTGGCTATAATGGTGACTTTGGGGTCATTGGAGATGCTTTTGGCAATGGGGAATTTAGAAGTAGGTTTTGAGGCTGTGTTCTTTTTCTGGTTCAAGGGTTGAGGTTTTGGCTAGCTTGGGAGAATCGCAGTGAATGTTAATGGTTTGTGTTGATTTAAGATAGATGGTTCATTTTTTAACTTGAAAGTTACATTATCTTAAAAAATATAAAGTTAAAGATCTTTGTTAATTTTTTTAGCTTAAAAGTCAAAAAGCTACTTGCTCCTTTCTTTTCTTTTTTCTTTTTGTCATTTTTCTTCGTTTTTGAGGATTCATTTTTAAAGTTTCAAAGATGGATGATCACAATTCACAACCAAAAGATGATATATTTTTGAGAGATAAAAATGGGTAGTCCAGATTCACTTGGAGTAGTGAGTACCTTACCACGATGAGTACTTTTCAATTATGGCACATTAAATTTGACATTAGGAAACAGTTTCATCCTGCTTCCACATTTCATAACTGCTTTGGCTTTCGTGTTCTTTTTAAGGGATTTCGATTTGTTATACAACAGAAATCAATTTTATTTTCCTGCAGAGACAACTTTAGTGGGTGCCGTTGCTTTTAAAAGAAGGGTTTTATGATTATCATTTAACATAATATAACTTCACATGTCATGTTATTCCTACACACATTAAAGAGGTGGGGTCCACATGTTTTTCTTTCTCTTTTATCATTCTACTTTCTTTCTCCATTTTGATGTGAGAGTTGGAAACAACACCTTACATCATGTTACATAACACTAATAAAACCCTTAAAAGAAATCAAAAAACAAAACAATTGAAACACGGTTATTGATCTCTCAGTCATAACATGACAGCAATAATTTCCTGTATAAATCCCTCTTTTTAAATCCTAAGATTTTGGCTTTTTGATTAATACAAGAGATTTATTATTCTTATATTATATAACAAATAATTTATCTCCTACACATACAAATTCAAAAAGGATCTCACTCTATTTTTTTTCTCTCTTCCAAAAAGTGAACCTCACCTGCATAAATGAGTTTGTAGGAGATAATAATTATCTCCTACTACATGAGAAAACTATTACCCTTAACACAATGCAAAATTAAAAATATTTTATGGGATTTTCATTTGTGCTTTAACATGACACAAATTTTTTTTCTACACACACAACATTTGTGGGGCCTGCATTTTTAAAGCAAAAACAAAAAACTAAGGCATGCAAAACGAATCTCTATAACATTACACAATCATTTTTTCTACAACATAACTCTTATAAAATCCATATTTTATTAGTTTAAATTTTTTTTCAAACTATTTACACGTACATTCTGAACACTGCGTATTCAACTCGCATCACTACATGCATGCCTCATGTGACGAGCACGACACGTGGCAGGCGTGTGTGGGTTTTGCAGAACTCATGCATGAGATGATACGCGACTTGTATGCGCACGGTTAAAATACACATATTTTTGAATTAAATTGAAAAATAATTTGCTTAAGGAATTTAACAAATAATATTTTTCTAATTTTGCATTGTGTGGATAAAAATTCCTAAGATTTCTATGCAATGAGGTTACCATTGGTACAAAAATCATTTTGTCAATTTTTGGTTTTTTTTTTTTTTTTTTTTTACCAAAAACATGATTTCCTCTGCTCAAACTCATTATTCTAAAGTAAGAGATATTCTTAAAACAATAGGCACAAATCACTCCACGTGATATATTTAACCTTTTAGCATAGAAATGAAATTCCAATTGATGAAAAAAAGTATAGCTACAAATGGGTCAATTCAAAATTAATAACACAACATGATTAATTATGGATGCTCAACTAGCAAGCTAAACTCAACATTTCTATGTTTCAACAAGTGAATTTTGGGTCATGGATTATACAATTTATGAGTTATAGGTTGGGCGTAAAGAAATACATCTTAGGTTATGTGATAAACTGTTTTATCTTACTTTTTTTTTATATTATATACTTTTTTATGTTTTGAAAGAGAGACAAAATTAGATGTTCATATTTCTTGAAAGTGCGTTATTGATGGCAACAGTTCCACGAATGTCCTTTATACCTTAGGCAATTTTAAGTTAGGATTAAAGTATGAGTCACAACCTCAACTTTGGGTAGATAAGACATGCCAGTATTTAAGGAAATATTTCTAGTTTACCTTTATATAGGTAGTTACAATGTCTATTGTAAATGTTTCCCATATTTTCTTAGGACAAACACCCTTAGTTGTATAATCATGTTCTTAATCAAGAGAGGAGGAACAATTATTCTTTCCATACACCAAGGGGGCAAAAACATTGACTTACAACCCACCCTCCTTAAAAATCCAATTAGCCAACATGCACAGGTGGTCATCCCCACAAAGCGTTGCAAAAGAGGATTTACACATTTTGATGTTAGCTATTGTTCTAGCAATCAAACTACATTTTCTAAGTCTTTCTTTTGTAAGCCCTCCCTTGATTTAGAAAATCTAATAGAGACACTTGAGGCTATTATGTTTGATGATTTCGATAGAGATTCTGCATGTTAAAGAGTGTGATGAGGTTAATAAACAAATTGGTGATAGTTCATTTGAGTTTTTTCATGGTTTAAACTTTACTAACCTATTGATCTTGTGCTTGCTTCTTTCAGTTAGACTCTTGAAATTTGTTGAGTTTTCTGCTATCCATATTCCTAATTCGCATGCCAACAACAAACATAAGCATGCATTGGAGGGCTCAAAATTTTAATGTTGATGGTTGTATTATGATAGGCACTTCCTCTTAGGCTTTTGTTATTTTTGCTAAATATGGGTCTAATGCATATTTACTTGATTTTTGAGTGATATGATTCTTAATCCGGTTTTTAATGTGGAGGATCTAACAGCTTTTAGCGGAATATTTCAGCCTCCCTTTTTTATCTTAATATGTTTTTCTCTAATCCTAATCTTTTTAGGTTCCCCGAGTTCCTTTTGTTTATGAACCGTTAGATAAGATCAATGCTCTCGTGGATGATGAGTATGTTATTTTTTTCGTTTCTCCTTTTCAACACTACTTACCAAGTGAAAGAACCATCTTGTTTGATCCCTAAAGTGGATAACCCGAAAACTTTGAAACAATTACGACACTAAACATATAGCGTGCAGATTAAAAATCCAGATGAAACTTTTTGTGGCTCCAAACCAATGTAGCTTCATACAAGGGCGCAATAGTTTAGATAATATTGTGATAGCCTAAGAAATTGTCAACTTAATGGGTATTGGGTAAGAAAAAAGGAGGAATTGTATAAGTTGGAGCTTTCTCCATGATACTTGATAAACCTTTAGTTTATCTTGTTTAATGGACTAAAATAATATGAATTATCTAGTTGAACAAGTCAAAAATTAGGGTTTTAAAATGATAATCATGAACATTATCTGATTGTTGGAACTAATTAATATATTTGTTATTTTTAAAGGGATTTGATAACAAATGATTCAAATATGAAGATTTAGATAAAGAGAGATCAAATCAGAAAAGAAGATGAATCAAGGTGAAAACAATAAGATTGAAGATCTTATCAAGTTGTTAGAAGTGGGAGCTTAAGCCCCCATTCACAAGCTTAAGCGCCCAGACAAGTCCAACTTAGGCCCATTCAAGTTTTCTACTGCAATACGAACTCTTGATCTATTTAAACACCATTGGGGACCAGAAATACATAACTTTTACATTGCAAAACAACTTTTGGGTGCTTGGAGGCTGAAGGAACGCGGAGGAACATCAGATTCATGTTCGTGAGCGGCGGAGACAGATCAACGTCAAGTGTTCACTGGAGATTTTGAAGATCCACCAATCACCTATGGAGTTTGGGGGAGCCTTTCTATTTTCTTTTGTTCTTGATTTTGCTATGTCCGGCTAGTTCTTTAAGTAGTTAGGGTTAGATGGATTTTAGTCAATTTATTATGTTTTGAACAATTCGCTGTGTTAATTTTCCTTTATATCATGAATGAAGTTATCTGTTTTTAATGCTTTATATAGGCTTGAATCTTATATAATGATCATCGGTGAATGCATGACAATAGGAATGTTGGTGTGTGATCCATATTTGATAACTTCATCGTAAACGCTATGATTCTAGGGATAGACATAGGGTTTGCGTAATCTTTAAGATTCTTGAACTTAATGCTTGCATGCTTGGGGAATAACCGGGGAACTAGGGTTCTTCCAATATTGTAAAGGTTTTAGAGTAACAAGGGATTGAGCTCTAATAACATGCGAAAGAATTGATTAGATTGATACTAAGGACAATTAACATTAAGAAGGAATTCAAACGTAATAAGGAGACTAAATGAAATCGAACCCCTAGCTACGTTTTTATTTTATTAGTTAAATCACATCTTTAATTTCTTGTCTTTAATTCTTGCAAGTAATT